CTGAACACGTCCAGAGATGGGCAACAAAGCTGGGTTGTTTTAGTCTGGAGAAAAGGAGGCCAAGGGGGAGAGCTTATTGCTCTCTACACCTACAGGAAAGGAGGCTGTAGAGAGGTGGGGGTTAACAACCAGTAGGACAAGAGGAAAAAGCCACATATTACACCAGAAGAGGTTTAGATTGGATATTAGGAAAAATTTCTTCACTGAAAGGGTTATCAAACATTGAAACAGGCTGCCCAGGGAAGGGGTGGAGTCGCCATTCCTAGAGGCATTTAAAAGACAGGCAGATGTGGTGCTTAGGGACATGGTTTAGTGGTGGCTTTGGCAGGGTTAGGTTGATGGCTGCACTTAATGATCTTAAAGGTCCATTCCAACCTAGACAATTCTACGGTTCTAAGCTAAACCCCCAAAAAAAAAAAAAGCCTGAAGGGAAAAAATACAAGAGTTACGACCAAACTCTATGAACAAGCTGGTGGAACCGTACAGGCATCAACACCAAGGAAAGAGAAGAGGCCGGAGGGGCACAGGGCGCTGGAGCAGCTCTAGTTTAGACTTGTCCAAACCACCACGGAACCGCAGCCTTCGAGCCACCTCACCGGGAGGCCGGCAGAGCCCCGCGGGGCGGCCTGTCCCTCCCGCCGCACCTCCGCCGCCGAGCAGGGGAAGCCAGGCTGCCCCTGCGGGCAGGCTCACCCCGGCCGAGGGGCCCCGCACCCCCCGCACCGGGAAGGCGCTGCCCGTCTCCCGCACCCACACGGGTTTGGAGGAACATCAGCCACCAGGGCACAGCCAGGGAGACAGGACAACGTGCCCGAGCCCGGAGACTCCTAAAGGGGCACGGCCACGGGTGGACGCCCTCCTGCCGCATCCGCCTCCACAGGCGGGGGACGACGAGCGCCACGGGCGATGCTCAGCACCCAGGAAACCCCCTTTCCTGCCCCCGGGCACCTCCAGACTCCATCCACGGCCCCTTCCCCGCGCCCCCTCACCGACACCTCCTTCTCCACGCGGCCTCTCGGCTCCCGCCCAGCCCCGGCGGCACCGCACAGAGCCCCGCGAGCAGAACTCCCTCAGCAGCAGCCGCCCGCCACGGGGGCACCCGCCCCCCCCAACCCGTGCCCGTAAATCCCGCGCACGCCCGGGGAGCTCCTCCCGCCGCCACCCCGGCCCTCGCTCCTGCTCCACAGCAGCCGCCCCCCCGCGCCTCACCTTGAAGATGGCGTAGCCAGCGGCGGTCTCAAACAGCACCAACATGGCGGCAGCAGGCCCAGCGGCGACGGGCCCGGTGGCGGGAGCACGGCCACGTGCGCCAGCGGACGAGACTCTCCCCCCCGCCTTCTCCGGTCAAGCACACGCGCGCGCCGGAAGAGGAAACGGCGGGCCGGAAGTGAGGGCAGCGGAAGAGGCGGGGGGCGGATGGGGCCGCCTGCCCCGCGCGCGCTCACGAGCCACGTGGCGGGCGGGGGGATCACGTGGCCGCTCGCGGGGGCCGTTAACCGCCGGTCCTCGCCTTGGCGGCTCTTCTCTCGCCGTCCCTCGAGGCCGGGCCTGGCAGCGGCCCGGCGTCCTTCCCGGGCCCGACCGGTGGGTCGGTGTGAGCTACCCCGCTGCCTCCCCTTCGTGAAGGTTCGAGTCTCTCGGTGTAAAAAATCTCCCGTTAGGCGTTGAGGCGGCTGCCCGGCGGGGAGGGGGGCCCTCTGTGCCGCTCTGTACCAGTAGGGCCTGTGTCCGCCGCAGCCACTCACTGAGACCTTGCTGCTCTCTACAACTGCCTGAAAGGAGGGTGTAGAGAGGGGGGGGTTGGTCTCTTCTCCCAGGTCACAGGCGACAGGACGAGAGGAAATGACCTCAAGTTACGCCAGGGGAGGTTCAGGCTGGATATTAGGAAAAATTTTTCACTGAAAGGGTTATCAGACATTGGAATGGGCTGCCCAGGGAGGTGGTTGATGCACCATCCCTGGAGGTGTTCAAAAGACAGGTTGATGTGCTGAGAGATACGGATTAGTGATGGTGTTGCTTTTTGTTGTGTGGGTGTTTATTTTTGTCAAAATTAGGTTGACAGTTGGACAAGATGATCTTTAAGGCCCCTTCCAACGTAGAAGATTCTGTGATTCTGTGACTCTTGCATCCTTAGGAGCTGCAGGCCCCAGCCTGGCACCTGTCAGACCCCACAGGTGCAGCAGCTGACGGTGGGGACAGGCTCTGTGACTGGAACTGGGGGCTGGGGTGCCTGTAGTGGTAGTTTTTGTTTCCTGAGTGGGTTCTGAAGGAGGTTTGAGCTGGTGGCCCCCCTTGGTTACCCTGCAGCTGGGGTGCTGCATCCAGCCCACCTGCGGTGCCACCGTTCAGCCGGTGCTCCCAGCCCTCTCCACACACGGGGGTGGATTCCCTTCTGCCTGCTCCACTCTCACACCTCCGGTCAGTTCCCACCGTCCCTTGTCTGCAGGTCTTCATACAGCTCTGGGTTTTTTTTTTCTGTAAATAATTTCTTGTGACTAAGTGCATTTGTGTGCATTTAAAAGGTTTGCTTCTCCAACAGAGAGGTGCCAAGTTACATGCACTTAAAACATAAATTTTAAAGGCTGCTTGTTTCCGCACGCTGCTGCAGTGTCCTCTGGATACGGGTATTTCTGTTGGGGGAAGGCAGAGGCCGGAGGCGGCTAAAGCCATCCATTTGTGCCACCTACTGGTTTCTGGCTTGGCAAAGAGCGTCTTTGTGTGCGCGCTGCTGAGGCTGACCTACTTCTGCGCCTGGGTCCGGGCCCTATGAATAATTGAAAAGCTGCATGCTAGTGGAGTACAGGCAGAAAGCATCAGTCCTTGCCCTTATAAATTCCCACTTATTTCACATTGAGAGTCACCTCCACTGAAAACAGAGGCAGAGCTTTTCCTACCCGCAGGAAGGGAGGCTCTAAGCAACTCTTGGGCTTGATTAATATCAGACATTCATTGCTGCATTTTATGCAACCATCCGTATGAGTCACCACGCCTTCATTTCCTCTCTTGCTTCTCCTATAAAGGATATGCTGGAAAACCAGGGAAATCTGGGGTTTCACATCATTCTTAAGATTTATTTTTTTTAAAAGGGAAGACTTTAGTGGTTTAGATAATGTAACCACTTTTTTTGAAGTCTCACAAGTGGTAATATTGCCAAAGAAATCATATTCAACTAAAAAGAAAAATTCCAGGTTCTGCCTGGTTTTTAAGTACTGTTTCTGGTGCTGCTGGCTCAGGGGGAGTTAAGAACAAGTACATGTTATTTAGTTGTTTAATTGAGAATGTATTCATCCTGCTTGCCAGCACTAACCGCTCTCAAGCAAATATGTTGGCATTATAAGATTATATATTGCTCTTAGGTTGAAGTCCAGTTTTATAAAAAAATTGTTTTTGACAGACTGAAGAGTCTTTGCATAGACTACATAGGCCAGTAGTTTTCACAGAATCACCATGGTTGGAAGGGACCTCTGAGATCATCGAGTCCAACCTTAAAAAAACCCCAAACAAACAAACAAAATTGAGAAACCCACTAAGAGCTCTTGGCTCCTAAAACACATATGTAGCTTTGGAGAAGTTAGCAGCACTTTTAAGGAACAGAGGTGACCATTATTGACTCCAGGTGATTGAGATTAGTTGCAGATAGGGAAATTAGAGAAGTTATAAAGCACCTGAGAATTAAGTGAGGCCATTGGGGTAAGTAGCCTTGATGGTGGTTGCAGCAGCAACAACTTTGGGCTTTCAGGGAAGAAACTTGTGTAGGTATATTTAGTCTTTTTAAAGCAGCATAAGTTTTGTTGTGTTTCAAGTTAAAGTATACTATGTGTTGAGTTTGGGCTGTCAAAAAAGTGTGAGTTTTGCTGTGATGGACCTCCATAGTTCTCATGGGCTGAACAGAGCCTGCCTTTGTGGCTGCTGTACAAATGTAGCTTGTATCTCAAAGAGGTAATGTGTCCGCATCCAATTAAGAAGGGAGTAAAGAAGAGGTGGTGTTACTGTTACTTAGTGCATATGCAGATGTGTACATTTCAACACTATGCCTTTATTGCTACGTATGGGAATAGGTAACTGCATTTCAACTCGTGTGTCAGATTTTATTACAAAATTGCATAGAAATATTGGTAAAATGAAGAATTATGCTCAGGTTTGATGCCAGAGTCTGAAGCTTTAGCCTTATTGCTACAAGACTGCCCTCCCTGCTCCTAAAACTGTAGTTTGTGAATAGCAGTGATGTTTAGGAGGTAGAAGTATGTGTCGCTTTCTATTCTGTTAGTATGGTGGGTTGCTGCGAAGCCCTTGAATGGCTTCTTTTGGTGCTTTGTGTAGTGTTATTAAGCTCATAATGAGCTCTGACTGTGAGCTTGGCATAGTATGAACATATTTGGCTTTCCTGCCTACTAGGCCTTGCCTAAGAAAGATCATCTTAGTTCCGTAGCTCTGTACAGCATGGGTTTGGGAGTTTGTGCAAATCCAACTGCCTCCCTGCTAATTCCCTTAATAAACGGGGATCCTGTTGCACACATCCAACTTGCATGGTTGTGGTGATTTAAAAAAAAAAGCAGACTGCTTAAATGGAGAAGTGAGTTTTGCTTTTAAGCGTATCTTTTAAGTAAAAACCTTAGCAAGTCATTACAGGTCGGTGTTTTGTTGGAGTTGTTATGTGCCTTGGCCTGTGTCCTCTGGGGCAGGACGAAAGGGCCCTGCAGACCCGTACTTCCAGTCGTTAGAGCCTGTAACTGGCAGAGTTTATAAAAACACTAGTTTTATTTTCTCTTCGGGGCAGGCCATTCGGCGCCTTTCTGCAGCCGGGCCTCCGCAGGCCTGCCGACAGCCGGCCTCTCTGCCGCCGCCCGGCTGCCTTCCCCCGCCTCTGCCCGGGGCTGGGCCGCTGCGGGCGAGCCCGGGGAAGCGGCACCTCCCGGTTTAGAGAGCGGGGAGGCCCGAGGGGGCCGGAAGGCGGTGCCTGCCGCGGGGTCCCGGTGCCGGCGGGGAGGAGCCGCGGTGCGGGCCGGGCCGCGCGGGAAGTGAGCTCAGGCGCACCGGAAATCCCGCCCGCGCCGCGGCCTGTGTTTGCGCTGCGGGCAGAGAAAGGAGCGGAGCGCCTGCAGCGGCCCAGCCGAGCCTGCCGCACGCAACGGGGCCGAGCCATGTCTGACCAGGTACTGGCGCCGCCGGCCCCGGCCGACCGAGCGCCCACCCCGGGAGGAGCTGCCGCCGGACGCGCGGCGGGGAGGCGGGGGGACGCGGCGGGCAGCGGCGGCAGGACCCGGGGGCACGGGAGGAGCTGCCTGCGGCTCCCCCCTCGCTGCCGTGGGGC